ACAGTTGACTAAATTCACGATACGTCATTTAACAATACTTTGGATAGTTATTTTGGCAAAATTTTTCTCTCCGTGTATGGCTGGCCCCATCGGCATCGCCTTACACTGATCTTCCAGAGTTATTTTTACCATCTTTCAGTTCTCATACGTATCCCGCAACTGCGCAGCATTACCTGTGTTTGGTGGATACGAATTTTCACCCCGGCTTGTAATCTCTCTTAAGAGGTCATGGATGACAGTTTCTATGGTTAAGGCCGTTCCCGGAATTTTTTCGGGGATTTAGTAATACCCCAAATGGGGCTTGGTTAGTTAGTATGCTGCTCTCGCATCTTGTGCGCATCTCTGATGTACTAATTCTAGTTAAATATTGATAAGGTTTTGGATCGTTTTGCAAAAATGAAAAAAAGACATTATAATTTTATAGTTAGATTACCTAGGTACTTAAAAAAGAATATATGTTTATGACATATTTAGTTTTGGTACCTGATAATCCTTTTCCCCAATATACAAAAGCAAATAACCAATAAGTAGTTTTGAAAAATTATTTTTCTTATAACAAATTGTCACATTTTGGGTCGAGAATAAATATTCTTGAATAAAAATTAATTAATTAATTATTCTTCATTCAAGACATTATTCTTCGCATTAATCAAAGGAATTCTTCAATGAAACCGTTCTTTCCTCTATAGAAAGATTTTGTGTCTTGCGTTAATAAAATGTATTCTTGGTTAAAGATAATATTTATTTCATTTAAGACGAGTACTTCTTCAAACAAGTATTTGAAATTTTCTTCAGTATAGTTAATATTTAAGCTACATTCGGGATTTTTAAGAAGCAGAGGGGGGGGGGGTAAACAATTTTGAACTTTTTTGACACAAAGATTTATTTACAAATAAATAAAAATGTACATGGTGTCAAAAAAAAATAAAAAATGGTTTACCCCTACTTTCTGGAGTATTCCATTCAGTCAATAATGACCTAATGTCTACGGCACTGTAATCGTTCGAATAATCACTCATTTAAGTAAACACAAGCACGGTTACTTTTCAAATGAGGGTGTAGGACGTATGAAACAAGTTTATTCCCTCCCCAACGGACAGCTCGTAAATACAAGAAATTATCTAATAATTATTCTTGAAACGAAAAGTCAAACGATCAGATTTTCTTAATACAAGAACAATAAATTTTAATATTCATCAAGTAAAATTAACAAGCCCTGATTCTCTTGTCCCAAGAAAAGGGTAATTTTTAGAAAATAAGAAATATTTTACTTGAATTAACGCAATGCGTTTCTTCAATGAAGAAAAATTCTTGAACCAAGAGTTTTTTTCAAGAAATATATTTACTAAATATTTAAAAGAAATTGAACATTCTTGTAACAAAACATTCGTCTTAAATCAAATCAAATTAACTCTATTCAAATAAATATTTTTAAGAAAAATAAAATTCTATATCTAAGAAATCCTTCTTATCCGTGTAATTATCAGATTTTGCAGATGATTGCCCCTTCCACTCTTATCACTTAATTACTTCGGTGTCCGTATGTACTTTATTCACTGCATTCACTTGTTGAGAGATTGCTTTTTTATGCACTAATTTAATGATTACATTAAGACTTTGGAGATCAGGTACACTGACCTGCACAGGTGGTAAAACTTTGCACTAATTTCGCAAAGTCTTTTCCTTGAACTACACTGTATATGACCGATTTTTATGTTTCTTTAAGACTTTTATTCTGCTAAGGTACTTAAGCGCGCTTGAGTTCTTTCAAGAGCACATCTTTTCGACTGCCCGTTTGTATTGGGACCTTTGAAAATCAAAAAAAATAAATAAAAAGATTTAGTACGCTTATGTTTATAAAAAGCGTTTAAAAATTAACAAAGCTTGAAAATTGACAAAATTAATTTCCACTTATAACAATTGAGGCGCTTCTTTAAAAAACAGCCTTAGTCAAAAAATGTATTGTTAAATATTTTATTATTTAAAACAATCATATCTAAAAAACTAATAAAGATAGACTTAAGCCATAAAAATATCTCTTTCAATGTCATATACATTATCAAGCTAAACTAACGATTATACTGGCTTTAAATATTAATTTAAAATATTAGTGGGATTATGATTGTTTTTGTATGAAGCGCCGCAATTGTTTTAAATTTTGAAAAATATATAAATAAAAAATAGTGGTTGTAACATATTATTGATTGTAATTTTATTTTATTAATTTTTCCCATTCCAAAATTGGTAGGAACTACCTATTTTTCATGATGTAAATATAGCCCTTACACTCCTGAGAAATTAAAATTCAAATTTTAAAGCAAAATTAAAGTTTTCTCGACAAAATTGCTTTAATATGAAAACCAAAATAAAAATTTTTTTTTTGAAGAGTGAAAGAATTAACCTTTCCCGAAGACACTTTAAGCATTCTACATTAATTAAAGCCATTTTTGTAATAAAAAGACAATGACTTACTATTAGACGCAATGATGTAAAGAACTAGCACGCCTAAATTGCCATCCAAAACAAAAACAAGGCAGAAATTGGTGAGCGCATGCTCTTGTCTGCGTAGTAAACACATATCACAATTGTACGATTGAGGAGTGGGAGCTCCACTGTATCATTTTAACCCATAAAGTATATGTACATAAGGAAGTCACAATTGTAGCCACATGGAGCGTAAGGGATAGGTTAAATTATTAAATTCAGACATTTTTTTAGCCTAACCTTTTAAAAAGCACACAAATTTAGTACGTTTAATAGTACCTATAATAATTTTAAGTGGTTAGAACTAATTCTTACCTTACGTTTATCAGATCCACTAAGGTATTATCTGCGACTAAACATTTGTTAATTGGTTGTTTGTTCAGAACAGCAGTTCTTCTTAACTTCTTTATTAGCTTACCTCATGCATGCAATATGCATACAAATATACCTTATCAAAGAAAATATTATCCAAAAATAAAACGTTTTTTTTAAGCCATTCCAAAAAAATCCTTTAATGGCAGCTGTTAAAGGATTGTTCAAGAAATGTGCCGGGAAGCCGCGGCTGCCTGAAAAACTTCGGTCTATCGTATATTCTAACAATAAATAGACAATTTGCAGTGACTTTCCAGTAACGTATTTTTCCTTATTTAAGACTTAAAGAAATTCAAATCTTTATCGTTATGTTTTATGATTTTTTTATTTTTTTTGTTTGTCAAACGTTTCTACAATTTTTCTAGTAATTTTAAGTTTGTACGTTGGCACTCCGAAATCACCACATGCGTAGACACATTAATAACGTTTTTGCATTTTTTAGATAGTTTTGTAATTACCACTTTCCAGTCAAGGAATAGCTGCCAAAAATGATGCACAGCTATGCTAAAGAATCATTACTAAACACAAAAGCGCTCACTCCTAAAATTTCAAAACTGCCCCAAATTTACTGGATTTTTCGTGGTCATTTACAAAACAGTCTAGATGGATAGATTTGGTTGGGGAAGGGTAGCCATAACATGGTCACAAGAACTTGGGCCACAATTCGCCCTTATTAATACCTTCAAAATCTCCTTTTTCCTAATTGCTCATCACTATGGATCTTCAGCCATCCAAGCTAAAAGAATTTCAGGGGGGAGGCGGGACATGTGGTTGTTCCAACCCATTCTTCTCCTTAATTGGACTTTCTAAACTTGAGAAGGCCAGGGCCACAGACAAAATAGACTTGCCCTGTTCAGTATCGCTAACATGAAACCAGCGTGCCATAAATCGGGGAAGGGGGGCAAGGGAATGTATACATTATATTATATATTATATAAGAGAAGATATGTATTCTGCCAGGCCCGTATTAAATAATTTCGTACGAGCGGTATCTTTTTAAAAAGTATTAAATTTATTTTGTTTTATATTTATATATTTGTAAGTACATAAATTCGTTATAGATTTTAAACACGAAAAAACGTTAAAATAATTAAATAAATTATGTATTTAAACAAATTTTAATGTAATCCTTAATAAAAAAAAATAGAATAAATTATAAATTCTCTAATCAAAAAAAAGGCAAATTAAGCTCTTAAAATAAAAAAAAATTAAAATTCTGAAAATTTTAAAATAAAAAACTGAACGAAACAGACCAATTTCGCTAAAAAGTCAGAATAAATAACTCCAAATGAAATAAATTTCCACTAAAAGTGAAAAAAGTATTATTTTAATATTATATTTTATTTAAAATATTCCTAGTGGATTATCAAAGAAATTCATCTAGTTTTACACTCCAGAATGAACAACGTTCTGGTACGGCTCTGTGCAAAGGAGAGAACAACACAAGATCTGTGTGCGCACGCAAGGTATTGACATGCAAAATTAATAAAATCGCTTAAAATTTATCTCGTAATTACTACTTACTGGAAAAAGGAAATTGGTTGGAATTGGCTGGAACTAGTTTCACTACGACTAGGACACACTTTGACAACACATTTACCCATAATGTTCAAAGAATTTTACATAAATAATATATCCTCACAGGTCAACTGCTCAAATATGAATGATGCGAACTGGAAAACAGGCACCCGTTCAGGCACCCGCCCGGCCGTATCATTTTCTCCCTAAGGCAAGTCTATTTTGTCTGTGGCCAGGGCAATCATAAATAATATTTATCACGTTTTCTTCTCCCCAGTTCATGTAAAGTTTATTTTCTATTTTTATGCAAGGTATCTCATTCTGCAATATTAATAAATCACCCTGTATATGTTTTACATTTTAAATGATGCGTCTTGGACGACTTAAATAATAAATATTAAATATATTTCGTGTATGTAGCGAACGTATACTCTGTATATTGTACCACGTGCCTTATCTTAGTGGCAATATAAATAATCTTTTATAAACAAGTGTTTCCGACTCCGAATGGCAATAATGGCATAAACGGCTATTTTATTAATTATGCGCCAGCAGAAGTGCCGTAGGACGATCTGATACGGGCTCAGTTTGCGGCAAAATTTGCCTCCGCATGACATAACATAAATTTTTATATTTTCGCTTTTTAAATTTATTATTTGGTGGTGGATGTGATATACTGTGGGGAAAATGAGGAAACATCTCAAGCCCCCCCGTATCAAAATTTTCTTTAGCGATACACGTAAGTTTGCTTTAACAGTAGCGTAAGGTTAATTAAAAATGTTTAAGAAATCGTTAAAACAAACACCGTTTAACGTAGCGTGCGCTGCCAGCCAATTAGCATGATTAATTTTTGTGATAATTCGTTGAAAATCAAATCCACAACACGCCTAAGGTTTTTGTTATACTTTAACAAAGAAGCACCGTAATATGTGTATTTTTTTCTTATTTTCTATTTTTTACGTTTAGATTTTACACATTTTGTAAATGTACCTATACTTTAGCTGTGAATTCAAAGTATAAGTAGTATCTTTCGCTAAAACTAAAAAATAACCAACCACAAACCATACCATTTATCTTAAAAAATATCCATTTCTTTATTAACAACTAAGCTACACAATAGTTTATTATATTAGCAAAATTTATTCAGGGTATTTTTTATACCCGGTGAAAATTGGTCCTGTACCTTATTTATCTACTCATATTGCATAATATTAATTTTTGCGTATACAGGGTGTCCCATAATTAAATTTAACAACAGATTCTACTTACAAAAATAAGAAAAAAGTTCTTATAAAAATAGGTCGAGAAATGCTTTCCAAGGGAGCTACAGCCCCCGAAAGAGGAGCCCCTGAAGATGGTTTTTATTTAATATCTCCAAAACCGTTTAAGATAGAAAAGTGAAATTTTGGGATATAATCAAACTTTTTATGGCCAATAAGTTGAAATGATAACAAATTCAAAATTTTTCATAAAAAGTTTGATTAATTGGCCATAAAAAGTTTGATTAATTCCCAAAATTTTACTTTTCTATCTTGAACGGTTTTGGATATATTAAATAAAAACCATGTTCACGAACTCCTCTTTTAGGGGCTGTAGTTCCCTTGGAAAGCATTTCTCGGCCTATGTTTATAGGAACTTTTTTTCCTATTTTTGTACGTAGAATCTGCTTTTAAAGTATTGCATGCTAATTATGGGACACCCTGTATAATGATAAACATTATAGAATTCCTGAATAACAACGGATATTATAATAAACTCATTATTCACGTTGTTAGGTATCAGTGATTGGCCCATTTCAATATTCACTGTGATTTGAACCAATTGGGTTTTAAATTGGGAAAAGGCGACTATATAAATAATGATATATAAAAATTGGTAAAAAGTGAGGTTAACCATTTGACAATGTCAAATTTTATTTATTTAATTTTAAAAATCATTTAATTATCTACTTATTGTAGTAGATAAAGCATAGTATTACACTCGAGATTATGCGCATTATCTCTGTATACCTATATAAAGTACCTAGAATAATTCAATTAGATGTATTTAAAATACATATATCAGAATAGTTTATAGGATGTCCCTAATATGTTAATTTATTTAAAAATATCTTGATCAATCCTAGAGGATAACTATAAATACTTATCAAACAGAATTGATTTCAAAAGAAACACCGCAACAGTCGACAAATTTTCAATGTATTTGGTATTTTTTAATGAATAAATTAAAAAAACATGGCGATGGTTTTGTATAACAAAATTTCTATAGCTAACTAAATTAATAGTATTGATATTGTAAGAGACCAATGTTCAGAAAGGTAAAGAAACTTTGGCTGATAGGTACTTACTTACCAATAATTCTGTTTGAGTAGTTAATAAAAAAAATTAGTCTATCAACCAAAATGTAGGTAGGTATCTCTAAAAACTTTAAAACTTGCATAAGGGCGATTCCATGATTACTAACTGGACCAACAGAAAGAAAACAAAATGTTTTATGAAAATTTTTGAAGATGTGTTGTTCCTAAATATAATAATAATAATTTTATGATAGTTCTCAGCAATAAAATTAAGTAATAATAACTATCATAAAATTATTGTTATAAGAACAACCTATCTTTAAAAATATTAATAAAATATGTTGTCTTGTTTCTTTTTGTCCCGTTAGTAAGCATGGAATCGCCCATAAGTTGTTGCCTCATTTTCGGTACACTCGGTATATGGTACGTGCTGCTGAATAATAATAATATGTTGGAAGATAAAAATATTTATTATTAAGTTTATTGACATTTTTACGTATAATAATAATTTTTGTATAATACCTATACATAAATGTCAATTTGGAATATGAATGATTGCCTGGCCTGGAAAAGTTTCTAGAAAGTCTAACGATAATTTAAAGCCCACCAAAAAGCAAATCGATATATTTTTAGATGTTGCAAAAGGCAATTATTTAAAAAATAACCTAAAAATTAGAAAAAGTTGGTTGTCTTAAGATGTTGTATAACTTCTTTAATTTTGAATATAATTTAACAAATCTTCATACAAATTGTCTGTTTTTTTAGATTTTTAGCAAGTAAGCATAGTTTAATGATTTATTTTAAAACAATTTTCTTTGTTATAAACAATTATATATTTTTTAAATAATTTCCAAAAAATTTATCCAAGAATTTCAACGAGACCTATGTTAAAAAATCAATTTTTATGCATTGATACAAGTCGTAGAAAAACCATAGTATGCAACTCGTTTATAAATTTTTCTAGACACTCATCGAATAAAGCACTCGATCGCAAGTCATCGCTCGTGCCTAAATTAAATTCGTGTCAAAAAATGGCGTTTAACAAACTTGGTACATAATATACTATTCTTCACTTTCACTATGAAAAACTGTTGTTAGTCCATTTTCAAGGAATAAATTTCGATTTGCATATAACAATTTTATATTTTCACCGGCGCGTGTGTAATACAGATTCCCAAGAATTAATGTTAAGGTTAATGTATTGTTTTTTTTATACAAATATTTACTTTAAATCATTTTTAGATAATAATAGTTATTTGTCGTAGAAGTATAGTATGCAACTTTTTTATTAACTTTTCTAGACACTTATTTAATAAAACATTCATGATATAATACAATTAATTTAATGATTAATGAATATGATTTTGTGGTTAATACGATTAACAAAAAAATTTTTATACCAATTTAACAAAAGATATATTTTATTCAACCACAATTTACATATTACATGAGCATAACTATAAGGGTTTGTGACCCATTATAAAGGTAATAACACATTAGTGTCCTATAATCCATCCATAAGACACTTAAGTGTTGTGTGTTTTATGATAATTAATAAAACAAAATACGTCAGAATTCACTCGTATTTATTTATTTATATTTTATTTGCTTCTTACAATAAATAACTATTTACTATTTTTTTTTGGGGTTTAAATAATTCACATATTTTATACTTATTTGTATTTAATAATTTTGGACAAAAAGACAACCATCTCTGTAATTCTTATCATTAATTATTACATAGGTTAGATTATAAATTAAGTGTAAAATATCATTAAATGTACTTAAATTGATTTTATTATAGAAATAAATAAGTTTTTCAATTTAAAAAAAAATAGAAAAATAGTCTTTGGGAAAAGAATTAAAAATGGCAAAGTTGAAAAAAAACTGAAAAATTGTATAAGACTTGAAAAAGAGTCATATTTAACTTGTTTTTGGCTGGGTAAAAAAATTGAAAATATTCTGAGAAATATTTTTAGAGATTTAGTCGATTTGGCGTGGAACGACCCATATATATTATGGAATATCATTCAATTTTGAGTCATTATTGGGTTAGAATTTTTTATTTTAATTTAAAAAAGTATTTTTCAGTATGGTAACAAGGGGGTATTATTCCAGTAAGTTCTTAACCTATTTACCTACTTGTTACAAATTTTGGTTAAGTGTCTTTGCATATTAATTAGTCGCTGAGTATTAATTAAGTGTGATAGTTAACATGTAATGACGTTTATTATATCGAGGATATAAGGGAATCGGTATACCGACGCATCGCAATACTTGGCTACGATCGGTTTACCGGACAAATCAAATCAAACAGGTAGCAGTGAATTAGTGTGTATTGTTGTTAGTGTGTAGTACACACTGTGTACACTGTACAGTAGTTAGTAGTAGGGTTCGAAGCGGGCTCGATATCGGTTCAATTACTTGAAATACTATTAAAAACAGTTATCCACGATTATGTATGATTTAATTGTGAATAATGAAAATTATAAATAAGTGTAAGTTAATTTAGGATACCTTGTGTTTTATTTAAGTGACGGTATACAGTAATTAGCCGCTTTAATATTTTAGTGGTAAGTTATAGTTTTTAATTTATTTATTGATATTTTAATACCTACCTATTTTACGAGATATTGAAATTTCTATTTTTAACGCAATATAGGTTTTAGTATGTTGGAAATAATATACAATTTTTTTTTAATTTATAAGGTCAGCACAATTAAATTTTTGTTTTATTAATATTATGTTTGATAAAGGGGTTGAAACATGCAATTTTTGTATTGAATATTTGGAATTAACGAGTTTGTAATTAAACAATTTTTCACAAGTTTCTTAAACAATTTTTTCTACTTCCACCTTTAAAACGCCCATTATGTTTCCTTGACACTAAGTGACCTTTTAAATACACATTGACAAGTTGTGGCTTTATGGCGCTTTAGTCACGGGATGAAGTTAGCAACAGGTTTTTAGTCACGGACTGAAGTTAGTTTTAAGTTAGTTGACAGTTGTCAAATGTCATGCAATCTTTAAAATAAAGTGTAAAATAATAAATTTTAAAAATTATTTTATCTCAATACAAAAGTATTACATTGTTTCTTGTCGCCAATATTTGAAAAGATTATATGAACGTTTGTGGTGACCTTTTGATTTCGCCGTAGTACTACAAATAACTAGATTTAACTTATAAAGCGTTAAATATTTTGCGTACAGTGCCCATAAAACATTCTCTTCTCTTTTACTGTGAAAAACTGATTCTATATACATTGTTCAAAGGATAAATTTTGATTTACACAGACAAACTTGAGATTTTAACACCGGTAGATTCCCAAGTTAGAAATTCTAACAGAAATTTCAATAAATACAACTTTTTGAACCTTTAACATTTCCCGTATAAAATTTTTTAATACTTTGTGGTAATATTTTGCAATTAGGGTATTAAAAAA